CCCCCCCCCCAACAAAAAAATAAAAATAAAAAATAAAATATAAAAATACAAATTAAAAAAAAAACCAGTTTCAAAATAAGCTTTATAAGTCCTATTGCCAAATCCCCCAGTTCGGCTTAAAAGATTACTTTAGGTTGCAGACCTCTAAGAATTGATCAGGGCTGTAGCTAGTAACACGCAAATCGAGGCACTTGACTTTGATCATTGCTTTTTTTTTTTTTGTTTTTAATCATCATAAACACCCTTAATACCTAGGGAGAGAATAAAACCATGGCTTCAACCTCAGATATAATCTTTTTTCTGTCTACAGCCCTGAAAAACCTTTCTTAAAATATTACCAAACTGACAGTACTGAATTATATTCAATTACCTGGACATGGTTCTGACTGTTCTCTGCCACCTCCTTTCTGCAAATGTGAGTCAAGGACCAGAACTACAATAAACTGCACACGAGATTGCCCTTGATACTTCTCAGGGAGGGGGGGGGGNGGGGGAGGAAGGGGCGTGTGCTCATCCTACCTCTTAGGGTTAAAAAAGCAGTTTTGGTGCCTCTTCGGGGTGTTCAGCCTCAAAAGACCCACAGCGTGAACTATTGTACTGCTGAGGACAGGAGATAATGTGTTGTTTAAGAATAGGTACCTCTTAAAGGTGAAAAAAAATTCAAGCCACGCCCAGGGCTGTCATTAAGGGCTGTAACCCGTGACACCTGTTACAGCTGAGTATGCTTGATTTTCCCTTCATGTTATGGGTGAAATTGCCAGTTGTTGATAGAATTCGACCACAAAGTAACACGTTTGTTATGGGTGTGGAGAACAAGGCTACAGGTGACTTAAGACTTAATGACGGCCCTGATGCCCCCCAAAAAGGATGTTGGTACCTCTTAGGGGTTCTTCTCAAAATTTCTGACGAGCACCCTGGCAGTGCTTTTTAAAAGGGAGCCCCTGGCATACTTCACCAATTAGTTTGTATAGTGTGATTGTCCAGGTGAGGGTTGAGAAGTTCTGAGAAGAACAGTTTTTTGTGACTCACCAACAACAGTTCTTCTCAGAACTACCCTCGCTACTGAATGATACTCCTGGGATCAAACCTACTTCACTAATTGTTTACCACTATTATTTTACGAATATCAAATCCTGATTCCTTGAACCTTTAAGATCCCAAATACTTGGAATAAACTTACATACAGAAAACTGACCCTTGGTTTAAGTTTAAAGGGTCAAGAAAGCAGGATCCTACTGTTTTACCATTTTAACTTATTGTAGGCAACTTGATTGATCAAATGAAACAAAGCTCATGACAATATTGTCAAAAAGATGCCAAGGAGATTAATATATTTGCTAAATATTCAGTTAACCATTAACTAAAAAAATAAATTACACAACTTGCCATCTATGATCTATGCTGGCTATAAATATGCATCTCATCTAGATCAAGGGAGATTGATTAAAATTTTGCTGGTCAAAACATGCCGAGGAAACCTGAGGATTAAAAGCTTCAGCTGCAACAACCTGTGGCACTAGTGTGACAGCTTTAAAATAGCTTTGGCTTTCAGAGTCCAGTGGCATACAGTAAAACAGGGAACATCACTGCCATTAAAATCCTTGTTGAAATCAGCAGTTACTTAGTAATATTGTTGTATTTCTGCATACAATTGCAATGTGAATCAACTAAAAGAGAATGATCACTCATAAGAATTATGAGAATCCCTGTGTCATGAGGCAAGACCAAAAATATTTGCAGTGAATAAACACATTTGTTGGTGCACTGTACTTTCAAATTTGTAATATTAATTTATCATAATCATATTTAAAAGAAATAAATAACAATAAGTTCTTTAAAAGAATAAATTTAAAAATACATACAAATTATAAATTCTGCTGCAATCATAGATAACAATGATCATAACACAGCAAAATAATATAATTAATACAAAATGTATTTTAAGTATTACATACACGCATGCATAACTTTATTTCCATTCGGATTTCAGTGTAGCATGGGAGTGCTAATATCTCGTACCAAAGAAACAATAAAATAAAACTACTCCATGCTATCGAATAAGTACGTACTTAATTACTTATTACTTATGAATTAAATAAATTATACATTTTACAATTAAGACCAAACTAAAGTGAAAAGCTGGATACAAAGTATCAACTAAGGTGTGGTCATTTTCCGTGGAAACACCAACAGCTGAAATAATACAACAATAAATTAACATTTAATAACGCTGTTCTTGACACGCAGTTGTAAAGAAAAAAAAAAGGCAGGTGACTTTACATAGAGATTCGTAAAGTTTTGTGGGTTAATTCCATTAATACGAGTGCTTCAAAGCGGGAAAATCGAATCACAGAGGGAGGACAATTTGGCTGATGCAACCCGGAAAGCCTGAACTGCTCTGATCAGAACATGCGTTTACAAACTTCCGCCAGAGTTTAAAACTCACTGACCGTACATTGACGTTCGATCAGTCGATCGAACGAATGAACGATTCGAACGTATAACTGATCAAATACTGAATGCAAAATCGCACAGTCTTTCACTGTACTTACCGGAAAGACGGACAAAATCGTTGTCATCCAGTACTTCGTTTATGGCATCGTTCGGATATAGCATCGCGCCACCTTTAGCCAAACGAGCTTCGAAGTTTTGGGAGGTTAAGGGTGACTTCTCTGATCCAGGAGCGCCTTCTGAGCGGCGCATTGTTTCTTCAATCAGCCACTGAACTGTGTTATGACCTTCTCCGCAAGGAACGACGAACCATTTGTCGTTGAACCGAACAGATAATCTCATGATTTCTAGCAATTTCTCTTCACTGTGTTCTTGGATGTGTGAAACAGAAAGTCTGGGACACCGGCTAATTATAAATTTACAACGAATACAAACTTGTTTGTCAAAGTTCCAGGATTAAAGTCCTGGCAAAGTACACGTAAACTAGAAGATGAATAATCAGATCATATCGATTTACAATAACTACGCATTGAAGCCTGGCATACACAATTTACATATGCATAGCTTACCTCAAAACTTGACTGTCTTGTTCTCTTGCATGGACTTGAGAAATTGTTGTTTTTTTGCGACGTAGGCTAAAAATTATGTTGTTTGTGCTGAAACGTTCAAATAAACAGTTCTAAGAAAGCATTAACAATTTATTTACTCTGGTTTAAAGCGGACGTACCACGAATCCTTGCCGCCGGCGCGGCAAAACAAGCTTAGCCGTGCAACAAATCAACCAATCATTATACAGCATTTGGTACACGCCTCCGACGCACCTCCGACACACCTCCAAAAATACTAATCGCGCATATATTAAAAATACAAAACGCTGGAATCATTGATCACGGACTGAATAAAATGGCGTCCTTAAAGGAATTGTGCGATGGCCTTCCAATCGATCCTCTTCCTTCACCGCGAAATCGCGACAATTCCGTGCCACATGCACCTGTCAGAACAGTGAATCTTTCTGCGGATGAGCGAAGGGTATGAAATCTTCTTTGATACTTTGAGAAAATTCCTTGAGAGTAGCGGACAGCGCCTAAACGAAACTTAGCTTGATTGTTGTCTTTCAACAACAAATTCTGGCCACTTTCTTGTTTTGGTTGTCTACGAGATCTATCTTTATCTTTAATAACCCCAAATAATTCCAATCGATTTTTCTTTACTTATTTTGGAAGCTTACGAATGTAGCTCTCAAATTCTTACTTTAAAAAAATGGTAGCATGATGTACGTGTGATAGGGATAAATGTGCATTATTTAACGACATGGCCTAAACAAGTTAAGCTTAATTGTACTAATTACTAAAAAAATAAGCATTAGATAAAATAAAACGCATAGATTTTAACTCAGCGTATTATAAATTAATTTGTAATCCATAAAATCCGTTTTTCTTTTCATGCACGATTTGCTTGAAGTCACGTGATACAAATAAACTCTGGCAAAAATTAGGGTAAACATGTAATGTACCTGAGGTTTGAATTCAACCCATCATTTTGTTTTTCTTGTCCATCATTTGCCAAAGTGTGTCACGAGAAACAACCAAGACTGAGCTGTGCTAGGGTTCAACTTTCTCGCACGTGTTTTTTCGACTGCACGCTGTTTGTGTCATACAAAACATCACTTACGACCTTTATCCTGAAACATCACCTGTGACTGTGATAGAAAATAAAAATTCCTACAGCATTTTTTGGTCATGCATATATGACAATCTTAGGAACGTTTTAGGATGGTTTAATATGCTAATATTTAGATAGACATGCCATAAGCTTGTGGTAAGTGGCAAAGCTCTACCATCTCACTTAAGCCCTTCTTTTCTTTCTCACGGAGGCCCAACAACAGAGTTCATGTCTCAGAGTTTTGTAGTTTTAATTGTTTTAGCAGCTTAATTTACTAAGCAAATGGCATCAGGAGGGTTCTAATTATCATTGAATGTCCTAAATTTTTACTTAGTACTTATGTGTAAAACAATGAAAAAAATATTATTATAAGTTACTATCTTAAACTGTTTACAATATTTGTGTTTTAGTTAGCATTGCAGAATGCCCTGAGATATTTTCCATCCACTTGTCATCATACACTTGCTCCAGAGTTTGCCCAAGAATTAAGGGAGTATGGCCACATCTACATGTATCGCTTCAGACCAGACATTGAAATGCGGTAAGTTTAATATTACTTAATGCCACTATCCCGCTATTCAAACTAAGTGTAGAATTTTAACGCAACCAGATGAAAGGTGACCCAACAAAGTACGCAAACAACAATATGGCATAATTGAGGGGGACACAGCCCTGCGGGAGACTTGACGTAACTCCATGATAGGTGCACAAACTAAAAGCATCGCTTATTCCTCCACTCACATGGGAATAGAACAAGAGTATTGGCAGAGCCTTTCTTATATCCCCAGCACAGCACAGGCTGGATCAGACAAGATAAAGGCCAGGATATGAGATGGCAAGATACAAACAATGCAAAAGCTTGGGGGAAGTTACCACACAGACTTAACTGAACCACAAGGAGTGACCCCAGTTTATTGACAAATAACAGATAAAAGCCCCTCTCCAAGGGAGGGAAGGGTGTGCTAACTGCTAGAATAAGGGAATGTTCACTTGTGAATTGAGCATTCAGCATTGACATTACTATTGTTGTCCTACTGGATTACATGATGAACGAAAACAGTCTAGCCCTCAAGGGGTGTCATGTTCCATTAACTGCATTTTACCAACCGGTAAAAGCGTTATTAAATTGAATATCATGTGACAAAGCACCAAGAATTAAGTAGGAATGGATGTAATGACAGAAATTCTCATAAACTTCGTACATTGGTGATCTACTTAGTTTCACAACGAGGATTTGACCTGTTAATCAGTTATAGCTTATTGATCTTGGGCTTTTAGTTCTTCATTCAGAATGCTACATGCATGTATAATTTAAAACTTTTTTTATCCCAGTGCTTATCCTATTGACGAGTATCCAGCTAGAACTAGACAAGCTGCCGCTATTATGCTGATGATAATGAATAATCTGGATCCACGAGTAGCTCAAGTAAGCCAATCAGTGATATTTATTTAATAATTATTAATAATAATTGATATGTGCTGATTTGTTGATAGTTTTAGGGAGTAATCATGAGAAGCTCAACTAAGTTAACCATTAAGTTATAATTGTTATTAATGATAGTTTATTTTCTTTATTTACTAATTTGATTGATGATGATAATTTATTTTCATTTATGATGCTTAGGGTCTATCTGCCACTCTGTTAAATAGGAGAATAATATAAATATTTACTTCTACAATTAATGTAGTTTCCTCATGAACTTGTCACATATGGAGGGAATGGGCAGGTGTTTTCTAACTGGGCTCAGGTAAGCTGATTGCAAATTCTTCTTGAAAATATTTTAATTTATTTTAATTAATATATAACTTGTAAATCAGAGAATTGATAAGTTTCTATTTATAAACTTGCACTACTATCGTGTCTAAAACTGCATTTAGTTTGCAGTCGTACCTGCTGCATGATGCCCTCAGTAAATGACTGATTATTTCTGACTAATCGTTTGCCAAACCTGGGAGAGAAGCTGGGGATATTAGTAATGTTAGGAAGCTGCAAATTAATGGTTCTGCTAAGTGCAAATACTTATGACTTTTTTTAATTTCATTCGTTTAGTTATTTCTATTTTATTAATCATTTACAATACCATGATATCTTTACAAATAACAAAACTACACTGCCACTTTACCAGACTACTTACAACACACAAATAATTAATTTATTTTTAATATATTTATTTAATAATTATTACTGTTGTGTCAATATTTTGTCATTTATTTAGTTTTGGATTGTGATGCAATATTTATCAGAAATGACAGAAGACCAGACTCTTGTAATGTGCTCAGGTCACCCACAGGGACTGTTTCCCAGCAGCCCATCTGCTCCAAGGGCAGTAATTACTAATGGCATGGTAAGACTAAAAATATTATTAATATATAAATTATATTTATTTATATGTGAAATGAATTTTACAGCAGAGGTGAGTCAAATTAAAGTCACCAACTGAAAATGGCAGATGATGTATTTGAGCAAGACCCATTTACTTGAACAGAGCTGTTCTAGATACCCAGATAAGGGGATTTGTGTTGCTAACAATTTCTTGGTAACACATACTCGTTCCTTTCAAACCTTAATTTTTAGGGGCTTTACTTTGACAACTGCTTAAAAAGTTACGTGCAAAATGGCAATAATCATGTGTCTTTACCTCTACACAAGTCATGTAACATGTGACAAGCTAACATCGTACTATGGGGGTGGGGGGAGGGGAAGGAAGGGGTTGCTATTAGCAGCCAATTTTAATTACTCCTTGTCACATGCTTATAAAGCTGGAGCTGGATGCTGGCCTAGTGGCCTGGGTCACTACTGATGGAATACCAATTGTCAGAGTTTTCATATTGTAAAGTACCATTATTTGTTATCGCATCTGGAGGGTCCTGACAACATCTAGCTGCTCCTAGCTGCTCAAAGTGTTTCCAGAATCACTAAATGTTCTCAATTTTTCTTTTATGAATCTAACGTTACTCTTTGTTTGTTTGTTTGATTTTTCCAGGTTATTCCAAACTACTCATCAAAAGATCAGTATGACAAAATGTTTGCCTTAGGTGTGACTATGTACGGTCAAATGACAGCAGGGAGTTACTGTTATATAGGACCTCAAGGGATAGTTCATGGAACCACAGTAAGTTCTGTAGTTCTGACAATGCCAGCGAATTTAGAACATTTCTATTACTACCTGCCCCATCAATTTATATTAGTACCAGTGTCTATATCTTAGATTTATTTTCGTAAATTAATTTGAATCTCTCCCAAGCCCACCTCCAACAAAGGAAGAAGTTAACATATCGGCGGAGCTGTGTGTTTTTTTTTTTTTTTTTTTTGTTTTTTGTTTTTTGACGCCCTTGTAACATTGTGGAATTAATATAATTACAATGTATATAAATTAAGATCTCATTCATTTCCCAAACGCTCATTTCTTAGGCCTCTTAGAGGCTTCTGCTGTTATAAGAAGGCCATCCAAGGAATATTTACACAATTAATGCCACAAAATGCATCACCTAATGGATAACTGTAAGATAGAACCTTCATCATACAACTTTCCTTTTGTTCACAGATTGTTGTTCTAAATGCTGCAAGAAGGCACTTAGGAGTGAATGATCTGAGAGGAAAGGTACCTTACTGTGCATCTGATTTTTTTTGTCTTTTGTTTTTCTTTTTTCAAAGTCTTGAAACTAACCTACATGGCTGGTGAAATATTCACATGTGCATTTCTGCTATTTCTGCACTCTCATTATAAGGTACTCCTGCACACTGCTATAACAAGGCACCTGTGCCTGTATTCCCACCAGATACACAGGCTGACTTACATGTAAATTTAATGTGCAATCGAAGGCAAATAAAAAAGTATTCACTAGGGAATATTAGTCTGTCTATTTGTTTGACTCTATTAAAAGACTAAAATTTGCAAAACAATATTATTAATTTTGTTATTTGTTTGCTTTGGTATTTTGTTTACGCTCACAACACACAATATTGTGTTTGTAGGTTTTTGTTACAGCAGGCCTGGGTGGAATGAGTGGTGCACAAGCAAAAGCTGCTGTCATTGCTGGTTGTATTGGTGTAGTGGCTGAGGTATGGTTGCTCTGTCTTTTCATCCATTTGTTCTGAGTCATTCACGACCTCTGTTCATCCCTTCATTCAGGTGTAACATTTTTATTCTTCCAGTCATTTGGGGAGCAGGGATAGCACAGTGGTAAGAACACTCGCCCTCCACCAATGTGGCCTGGGTTTGATTCCGGCCTGGTGCCATATGTTGATTGAGTTTATTGTTGGTTCTCGCCTTGCTTTGAAGATTTTTCTCTGGGTTCTCCAGTTTTCCTCCCTTCACAAAAACCAACATTTCCAAATTCAAATTCAACCAGGATAGAGGACCTGCATGAAAACCAGCTAAGACTGGTGTGGCTTCCTCTCTAAACATTGCAATTTATTTATTTTATTTTGTTTCATTCATTTGTTATTTTGCTAATTTCTTTTTCCTTTGTCCTCCCTCCCTTCTTCCTTCTTTTGTCCATCCATTCAACCCTTTGTTTCTTTCTTCTAAACTACTTCCAAAGTCAATTATAATTTACTTTGATCTGAAGGTGTCTCAGCAGTGTATTTGTTTTAAATGTCTCTATTCTCAGTGGCTTTTTAGGCTGTGAGTACATATTCAAATTTCTTTGACTTTCAGGTTGATGAGGCTGCTTTGAAAAAAAGACATGCACAAGGGTATGACTAAAGCTTCCTTTATGCATGTTCTTTTGGTTTGTGGTCTTTCCTAAACCATTCTGAAATTAACTGCTACCGTGTGTTGCTTTTCTTCACAGATGGTTAATGGAATATACATCTGATGTGGACATCTGTGTGGAACTTATCAAGTACTGTACATAATGATCTTAAAAATCATCAATAATAATTTGCACTTAATTTTTTCCTTTTTTTTGTCGCAATTGAACAGTGCATTTGAAGCCATTTATGCAGTATAACTTAGATTCATTTGTGTGATATCTCACAGCTTTACTGATGTGTATTATTATTTTCATAGTTATCTTTTTGCATGCATGCAGTGTGGACATATGGTGCTGAGAATGACAGTACTGTTTTTCTTTTACAGGAAAGCTCGGAAGTTGAAAAAACCACACAGCTTGGGGTACCACGGCAATGTCGTAGACTTATGGTAAGATTTCTTAGTCCTTCTGTGTTCACATCTCATTGATTTCCTATTTGAGACTGATTCGGATGTGACTTGTTGTCGCTTTTGAAGGGAGCGCTTAGTGCAAGAGTATGAGAGTACCGGTGAAGTTCTTGCGGAGCTGGGCTCTGATCAAACCTCACTGCATAATCCGTTTAATGGAGGATATTATCCTGTTCAGGTTGGTGGCAATAAAGAGCAAACATGACGGCAATATAGTGCCAACGTGGCGCCAATATGGTGGGATGGCTTTTCTATGAAAGCTCTGTCGTTATCTTGTGAATGCCTGGGATTCCAGCCTTTGACTGATTTTATTTTTTCAATTATTTCTTCACTTATTATTTAGGTAAAGTTTGATGAAGCAAATGAAATTATGAAACATGACCCTGAAAGATTTAAAGCCTTGGTGCAAGAAAGGTGAAAATAGTTAATTTATCTTCCTTATTATGGAAACACTCTTGTTAAATTATTATGTACAGCATAATTAATTTTGACGATGAAAGTGTTATAATTAATGTTACTGTATAAATTATGACTAATAGAGCCATTTTCACTCAAATATAGCATTGTGTTGCTTCACTGCGCTACACGATTGGCTTATAAATCTTGCGCCACTTTCACAACCAAACAGAAAACCCAAACCAATCATGACTCACTGGGTCACGTTTTCCCGCGCTTTGCGTCAGTTCCTTGTATTTACTTTGAGTTTTGATTGGTTTACTGTACACTGTCTGTGTGCTTTGTGATTGGCTACTGACACTGACAGTGATTACATCGGTTTTGGTTTTACGTCACTCAGTTGAAAACCATTCTCTTCTAAAATGACACTTACATGTACTAGTAATATTGGATTTTGTACATTGTGTTTCAGCTTGCGTCGCCAAGTCGCCGCTATTAATAAGCTCACCGCTCGTGGAATGTTCTTCTGGGATTATGGAAATGCATTTCTTTTGGAGGCCAGCCGTGCAGGTGAAGATTCAAATTCCGTCAGAGTTTTAATCAATCTGAAAATATTTTATGCCTTTTCTCTCAAACCCATCAGAAAGCTACCCACAAGCTGCCAGGCGTACTTTGTGTTTACTGGGCAATAAACAAAACAACAAGTTTTGGACTAATGTGGCTTAATTGAGCACAGGTTCACAGCCGTATTTTTTATGTATCAAATTTCAATTCCAAAGTATTGATAGATTATGTGGCCCAGTAAAGGTGAGGAAACCACAAACGCCAAAATGGCCGATCGGAATCACCCAATAAAATCTTGAAATGAATGAGGACTGGGTTAAATTATCCCAAATTGTGGCCGACGTTTTGCGCGCTGAAATTACTTTTTTGACGCCTTAGCCATTTTCTCTAAGAAGCAAATGACACCACAGCTATCCGTGCATTGTCTTGTTGGTTGGTTGTTGCTAGGTGACGAAGTACTAACCAATCAGAGACACTACACGGTTGTTTATAGTGCTGCGTCATCAGTTTGGAATTTAGTGGCGCGAATCGCAGATCGACGCCTCCGAGCGAGCGAGGAAATGACTGTGTGTGACATCAGAGGTCTTATTTCATCAAGCTTATCGCGTCATATACAGAACAGATTGTCATTTTTAAGAAGAAAGTAGACCTAAGCCGGCTTTATTTTAATTTTTAGGAGCTGATGTTTGTAAAGAGGGGGCTCCGCTCGGCATTTTTCGTTATCCGTCCTACGTGCAAGACATCATGGGGTATGTGTTTATGTGCCATTATCTGGTCTGATCGTTATAAATGCTTGTAGAATCATTGGCTTGTGAACAAATATGTCATTGTTATTCTTGTTTTAGTGATATATTTTCCCTGGGATTTGGACCATTTCGGTGAGTAAAGCTTACCTTGTTTCTACAGCCGTAGACCATACAGTATTGTGTGTTTTTTTTTAAAGGAAACGGGGCCGGTGCTGAAAAGTGTCACGACGGAAGAAGTACAATAAGACGGCTCTGCTCTGACGTAATGAGTATTTGATTTTAATTGAAAATGACGCAAAATGGCCACAATGACATGGCCAGTTTTCTATGCTTCTATTTGGGTTGAACTTTAACCAGGTAAGCTAGCTGCCTGATAAAGTGGTTTTTCACTAGAGCGCCTAAAGGTAATTGGTTTTGCAGCACTACCCTACACGTGATTGGTTCACTGTATTGTCTACGTCCTTTGCGATTGGCTGTAGTGATTACTTCGGTTTTCTTTTTATGACACTCAATTGAAAATATTTTTGAATCCATGACCTCGCCTATACCAGTGCATTGCTCTACCAACTGAGCTGTCTGGCCAGCTACTAGCTGATCAGTTTTTGAGTCTGTGATATAGAGCGGTTTTCAATTGAGTGTCGTAAAACCAGAACCAAACCAATTACTTACCAATTAGACTACTCAACCAATCTCAAACCGAAGTAAAACCAAAACCAAAACCAAAGTAATTGTCTAATTACTTTCGACACTGAATTGAAAACCGCTCTATCCGAGGACGTTTTAGACAAGCGTGATTGAAATCAATCGACAATGTATGAAAAACATCACATATTTACACTGCATGAGAAAGATAAATTGCCGGAGTGCTGTGCAAATTGAGTCAGAAATTTAACCAGCGTGTGTTCAGACTGAGGTTCTCATAACATTTTGGACCATTTGTTCTATTTTTAAGGTGGGTGTGTACTTCTGGTCTCGCTGCTGATCTGGCAACAACTGACAAGATTGCCAAGAAAGTCTTTGAGGAAATAATGGCAGAAGGATGTAAGTATGCTTGACTTACACATTCTAAACTGTTAAGAGCTTGTTTGTATGCGGTAAATTGCACATGCTTGTGAAGTAGCTACTAGATATAGGTACATTAGGGGGAATTGCCTCAAATCTGCAACAGAATTTAGATTACTTTGGCAAGAAATGGTTTAACTTAGTTCTCTGTGTTGAAAGGCAGAGTGAAGATTACTAAATCAAAGGTTACCGAGGAAAATACTTTCTCTAACGCATTTTAAAATATTTAATCACAATAATAACCTTAACTTAGTTTGGGAAGTGTTCTTAAGGTCATTCCACTGAAATAGAACCTGCACTGAGATTTTTGTGAAACTCTGCCTATTGATTGTTTATATTATAGGAACTTAAATTTTGAAATGAAAATGAGGGGTCCCCAATGTTCGTTTAGGAGCAACAGCACCTTGTTTATACCCATATAAATCCTTATAATAGTACCATGATTGTAGTCATGATTGCTTGCTAAATTCACGTTTCCGACGATTGCTTTTTGTTCTACACTGAGAATTGGTCCATATTTATTTTACACAGATA